TTGATACTTTTGACTTATGGTGCTGGAGGAGAATACTGAAAGTACCATGGGCTGCCAAAAGAACAAACAGATCTGTGTTGGAAGAAGTGCAGCCAGAGTGTTCCTTTGACGGGCAGGTGGCCAAACTTTGTCTCTCATACTTCGGACATACTGTCAGGAGGGACCTGTTGCTGCAGAAGGATATCGTGTTTGGTAAGGTGGAGGGTCAGAGAAAAAGAGGAAGACCCCCAACGAGATGGATTGGTCAAGCGGCAGCATCAATGGACTCAAGTGTGGCCCAGGATTGGGCAGTGTTTCGTTCTGCTGTGTATTAGGTTGCTATGAGTCAGTGCTGACTCAATGGCACCTAACAACAAACTGTGATAGAACACATTTTTACTTACTACCAGCCATTTGTGATATACAGACATACATACATATCTATCTATATTTTAAGCTAGCTTTATTTACAAATAACCTAAAATAATTGTGCCATTGCAATGGCAGAAATGTTTTCAGTGTTAATACTGAGGAATTATAAGGACATGCAAAACATTTTAATGCTAATATAAAGTTAAAGAAATTTATGTTAATGAGACCTAGATGGGTCTATACAGTCACTAAAACAAACATAAAGCCCTTCGATTTGGCCAAGGGTTACACAGTTCTTTAGCTCTACCACTATATGTCCAGAAGCACCCCACTCCACCAGCAAGTCTCCTGCCTGAAGGTGCTCGGCAGGTCTGTGAGCCTAGCTCTACCAAATGCCTGGAAGTACTCCACTTGGCAGGCACGCAGGAAACCAGCTCTCTCCATGGGCTGCTACACTCAATGCACCGCCTCCTGCTAGTCTCCTGGCTTTATTGCTTCTACTGCCACTGTGGCTCTGCTACCACTTTTTGACATCTTTGGTATTCACAGCTCTCTCCCTTGGCCTCTTGGTTCTAGAAGACTCCCAGCACAGGGACCCTGGGCCTAAAAGATGCACTCCACTTGCTTTTCTTCATGATAGTGTGATTCCCTCCTCTTTTCCTTCCCACTCTGGGATAGACTCTATTTTAAGCTGTTGTTGTTGTTGTTAAGTGCCATTGAGTCGGTTCCGACCCATAGCAACCCTGTATAGGGTTTCCGAGGGTGTAAATCTTTACGGGAGTAGAAAGCCTCATCTTTCTCCCGCGGAGCGGCTGGTAGTTTCGAACCGC